AAATGGGTGAAATGAACTTAAAACTTGATTTAAAAACGTTCTGCCCAGCCCAGGTCCGCCCTTCTTCATGTTCGCGACTCAAGCCTCGTGTTCGCGAAGGCCAAAAGGCTCTGCCCCAAAATTCCTCTTCGCGTTCGCGAAGGCTAAGCACTTCCAGGCCCAGCTCCCTTCCTTCTTCTCGTTCGCGACCAATGCGTCGCGTTCGCGTAAGCTTGACCAGTTCTTGCCTCGCGTTCGCGTTCCATACTTCGCGTTCGCGAAGGCCAACGACCTCGGACCCATCTCTTCCTTTCTTCTTCGCGTTCGCGAAGGCTTGCCCAGCTCTTTCTTCGCGTTCACGTCCACTGCTTCGCGTTCGCAAAGGCCAAACTAATAGCCCCTCAAATTCCTCTTCGCGAACGCAGGACTCCCTTCGCATTCGCGAAGAAGCAAACCAGACACCAGCAACATCAGTTCCAAACCAGCCCGAAATGATCCGAAACCACCCCGAAACACACCCGAGGTCTCCGAGACCCCGACCAATCATACCAACCAGTCCCATAACATAATACAAACTTGCTCGAGACCTCATATCACATCAAACAACATTGAAATCATGAATTGCACCCCAATTCAAACTTAACGAACTTTGAAACTTTAACTTCTAAAATCGATGCCGAAACCTATCAAATCACATCTAATTATCTTCAAATTTTGCACACAAGTCATAATTGACATTACGGACCTACTCCAACTTCCGGAATCGGATTCCGACCCCGGTATCAAAAAGTCAACTCCCTGGTCAAACTTCCAAAAATTATCCCAAATTTCCAACTTTCGCCAAATGACTCCAAAATGATCTACGGACCTCCGAATCCACTTCTGTACGCGTTCCCAATACCAGAATCATTATATGAAGCTATTTCCAGACTCGAAATCCCAAACGGACATCGATAACATTGAAATGTACTTCAACCCAAATTTATGAAATTCTTCCAAAAAATGTCAACTTCCACAATAGGCGCCGAAACGCTCCCGGTTATCCAAAACTCGATTCGGACATACGCCTAAGTCCAAAATCATCATACGAACCTGTTGGAACCTTCAAATCCTGATTCTGGGGTCGTTCTTCTCAAAATGTTGACCGAAGTCAAACTTGCCCTTTTAAAGCCAAACTAAGGAACCAATTATTCCGATTTCAACCCGATCACTTTCAAATTCCGAACCAACCATTCCCGCTAGTCATAAATTAGTAAAAGTACATACGAGAAGACTTATTTAGGGGAACGAGATTCTAACAGTCAAAATGACCGGTTGGGTCGTTACACAAAAAATTTTCACCAAAATCGAATGAGCTAAGGAACAGAGAAAAGGAACTCAGAACTCAGAACTTAGAAGAAGTCGCACTAATCTGAGAAAGAAGGATGAGCAACGAGCTGAGGAATAAGGCAGCAGTCGCACAGAGCTGAGGAAGAAGGCAGCAGTCGCACATAGGAACCCTAAATCTATTTTTTGATTTAGGTTTGGGAAATGGGAATTTATCAGTAAGACTAAGTCTTAGGTAATTAGGTTTGGATAAATTGGGTAGGCTTCAAATGGGTATTGGACTATTGGGATTCAACCTTCAGATGGGTAATAAGTTTTGGACTCTCAAAAGAGCCCATATGTTCAAACCTATTTTTCTCAACTAATATCCAAGATTTCAGTTTTTTGGTTTAATCGAAAACCGAAATACCAAAACCGTAAACCGCACCGACAAACCGAAATTTAATAATTTAAAAATCGTATACCGACCGAATAACCGATTAAACCGAAATCGAAAAACCGAAATTCACGGTTCGACTGGTTTTTTCGGTTCGGCCGGTATTATGCCCACCCCTAGCTGCTAGTGCTTCGGCCTTTGGCCTACCAGGGAGTTCTTTTACCCGCTTATTATTTATGTCGTGCATTGGGGACAATGCAAAATTTTAAAGTGTAGGGTGAGGAGATTGTGTGGGTGACTTTCTATGCTATTTTAATTGTATTAGTTTAATTGATGATTTTATCCACTTTCTTCTTATATAACATAAGTGAAAGTACATATAAAAAGTTAAAGCTCATTCGAGTGAGAGTATATATGCTACTTAGATGATTAAATTCTCGCATTCAAAATGATTGAAATGTCCTAAGAGTCTGAAATGATGAAATTTAAATCAAATTAGTTATATAAAATAAGTGAAAGTACATATAAAAAGGTAAAGATCATTTTGTTGAGAGAATATATGTTATTTAGATTATGGTCAAATTCTCTCATTCAAAATGACTAAAATATTCTAGAAACCTTAGAAAATAAAATTTAAATCAAATTTGTTATATAATGTGCGTGAAAATACATATAATTCGAGTGAGAGAATATATACTATTTAGATGATCGAACTCTTGTATGCAAAATGTTAATTCACGCTTCACGGTATGAAAAATAAATTATTGTTACACCCTAAGAAGAAAAGAAAACAAAGAGTGATAAAACAATTATTTGCACACCAAATTAAATAAAAGAAAGTAAGGCAAAAATAATGATTACATCTTAAATAAATGAATAAAAATTTGAAAAAAGTAAAATGATAGATAAATAATTAGTTAAAAGGAACTCTTTTGCTTTTTTAATCTGGCTACTAAGGATGAGAAAAGATTAGATGGGATAATATTAAGACACAAATTAAAACGTCCAGTTTCTAACCTGTCTAAAAGATGATTATAGAATCAATCTTGTCAAATTGTAACGATCATGGACACTTGCAAATCTTTAAAAAATTTAAAACATTCCATAATTTTACTTTTTGATTAACCTAATCTTCTTCTCACCGTCCCTTTTTACGTCTTCCACTCCCATTTCTCTGAGGCTCCAACCCATCTTATTTTTCTTCTACTTAAAGCATAGAGTTACTTGCCTCTCGATTTTTTTATATATTTAAATGATAAGGCAAATTGCCGAGGCTTTTGAGCTTCCAAGTTAAAAGACACGATTATTACTTAGTTGAAAAATAAAAATGGTTTTATCCATAACGACCATCCATTACTTAAGTGTCTTTTGAGATTTTAATAGGAATTAACGGTGGCTTTTAACAGTTAGTGATGCCACATCACCTTGATTAATACCATAATTATATATAATTGCCTTTTTATTTGCTTTTAGATTTAAATTAACCAAACTTCATGTGAAAATTTATGTTACTTAAATGAGTGCAATAACAACGATAGTAATGAAAAGAGATGTATGTAGATTTGTCCAAAAATATTATTGGTATAGTATTTGCTTAAAGGGTATAAAAGTCATCTAGTTTTTGAAGGTTATTTCAGTTAAATAACTTCAGCTAAAAGTATTCGTACTTATAATATAGTATGATGATGATGATGATGATGATATAGATATAGACGTAGACGGTAACTCAAAAGTCTTTGCATTACCCACTTCTCTCTTCAATATTTTATTTTCTATTTTCATTTCCCCAAGCTTTCGTTTTTATTATGTTGAGTCTAAAGAATGTTGAGCTAACGTTTTTTTATGTGTTTTTTAAAATTCTTGAATTATCATATCTCTTATAAATTACACTAATATTCGAAATTATAACTTTTTTTGTTATTAAACAATTAATACGAAATAGATAAAAGATAATTAGACCTTTGTATATGTAAGAATGACATGAAAATAGATGCAATGATGCACACAATATTGACTAGTTAAGGTAAAATTTAAATACTAGCAACAATAAAATGGATCAAAGTATATTTAGAATCTAAAGTTATATTAAAAAAAATTCAATGATGAAAAATGAGGTTTTGAGTAGTGCGTCAAAAGGCAATTTCCGGGCGAGCATGGAGACCAGGCATTTTAAAAATGCATCGAGGCGTATTGGTATGGCATAAGTATCGCGGAAAGTTACCCATGTTTTGGGTTTGAGCAAAAAATAAATCCTTTTTAATACTTAAGTACTCAAAAATTAACTCATACTAGTAAATTTTCAAATTAAAAAATATCAAAAGTCAAAAGCCTTTTCTAATTATTTATCGTAATTTCATAATTCTTTTTCTTTGTTGTTTATCGAGTAACAAATACTCTTTGACCTTTCGTTTAGGAAGTACAAACTACAAAATAAGAGATCTATCCGCCAACGCTTGCTCTACTTCCACGCTTACAATTGCAACTTATGTTTTATTTTCTTGTCAAGTTAATTTTTGGTATTAGAATTTCTTTTGGTATCTCTCTAGTTTAATATTATTCTAAAAAAAAAAAATCTTGTATTATAGTGAGTATTAGTGATTTGTTCTCTAATTTTAGATTTTCAAACGAAACTTATATTATTATCATTTTTTAGAATTATTAGGAACTGGAGTATTATTTTTATCACTCTTAGTGACTATGTTATAGGTGCAATATATTTTTACATCTTTATTTTGCAAGTAAGAGAAAAAAATCTTTTGCAATGTTCGGATACATGTTAGCATGTTATATGGATATATACATTATCCTACTAATTTTTTAATTTATTGAACTTTATATAATTTTAATAAGTTTCATTTTTTATTATTTATATATTTATTTTTATTAATTTACAAAATATTTAAAATTATAGATATTCATGCGGCTTTACCCACGCATCAAAACTTACGCCTCGCCTTATATTTTAACAATCAAAAGAAAAAAGTAAAGGAAAAACTTGTAATTTATAGTAATTGAGGCCATTTATGACATTTTAAAATACATGTAATGATCCAACTCATTTTTTATCCGTAAAAAATTGCCCACTTGGTGTGTTTATACCAAACAATAAGAGCATAACATGTGTTTGTATATAAACTTGTTTTACTTAATCATGATTAATTTATATATTTTCTCACTTAATCAAATCACTAAAGTTGATAACGTGTAGTGTGTGAATATTTTTTTATCGTTTTTATTCTAGTAAAACAAAACTAAGAGAGTATTGTCAAACAAAGTAGAAATGAGTGGCAGTAAAATAGGAAGGAAGTAACCGCAGCGTACCCTAACATTTTCACCGTAAACTCCATAGCCCCTCAACTCAACAAATTGACCCATTGGGTATTTTTTCAAAGTACGCCTTCTCTCTTCTCTGCTCGTTGCTTTTCATCGTTTTCGCTCTCGCTTCCCAAGTAAGTTCAAGTCGTTATATCCTAGGGTTTCTGAATCTCCTTTCACCTATTTTACTAGATTATTCTTCTGATACACATTTGATCCTTTATTGTTCTTTGATTTAAACTTTATTATTTTTCTGATGTTTGAATTGGTGGTTAACTGATTAGATCTTGTTTTATTCTTTTTGTCTGTGTGTAGCTGTTTTGATTTATGGGTGTGCATGATTTGATCTATTTGAATTGATTTCTCTTTTTAGCTGTTTTGGTTGATGGATGTGTATGATTTTGATCTATTTGAATTTGATTTGATTGGTGGATCCTGTAGTTTTCTACATTGATTTTTATTTGATTGGTGAATCCTGTAGTTTTCTACTTTAATTTTTTATTTATTTGATAAGGGTGGTGTCCGGATAATTTGATTTTATTTTTTTTGTCACCTCGACTATTCCACCCATACTTACTATCTCCCACAAGTACTAGATAACTCTGTCCATCGAGAGGCTTAGGCAAACGGGAAGAAATGAGTTAGTGTTTTTTGTGTTATTTGGGTTTTGTGTTAACAGAGTTTGCTACTTTTAGATTGGGTTTTTAGTTGATTTTGTAATTGGTGGGTATTACTGGCATGCCGCAGGACTGTCTTGAGTTCTGTATTAACAACAACAACAACAACCACCACCCNATAAAAGAAATGCTTATCCAAATAAAATGAGGATGGAAAAAAAAAGGTTCCCCGGTTAAGTTTGTCAGGGAATCCATGACCTTGGAATGTCACATTGGCTAGCTAAGCTGCTCAAACCAATGGAACATGTCTTTTTCTATTAGTCAAGTGATTTGTGTTGAAGATATAATATAATTAAGGAATTAAATTTTTTTGCTTGCTTTAACAGCTTGAGCTACTAGATAAAATATCACACAACTCAACATGGTATCAGCGAAACAAGAGATCTTGAGTTCAAATCTCACCGCTATCAATGAAAACGAAAAATATTTTCACGTGTTTGGCCCGTGAGAAAGAATTAGGTCATACCTTAGGGGACATGTTGAAGACTTAATATAATTAAGCAATTAAAGTGTGCTCTCTCTAATTAGTTAAGCTTTTAGATGAGACATTCACACGATTCAACAATTTGCAGTATCCCCCCCCCCCCCCCCCCCCCACCAAAAAAAAAAGGGAAAAAAAAACACATGTTAGTGGAGCTAATCCGATCACGGAGTAGAGATTTTGGACATAGACCTCGAACTTCGCATCTGTTAAGTATGATTATGATATATGCTTGGCTGTCGATGGCAGCTCCCACTGACCTTTGGATTTTTTTTTTCTGGTTCAAGTATGCCATGCAATCAATATATGTTGTTGGGGGATGTCAATTGCTGCAATACTTTTCATATTAATGACTGAGTCAATTGGAGTCCATTGCTTGAGAAGGTGTAAGTTAGTTGTGATTATAGATTCCAAAGACAAGCCTTGTGTGTTATTTAGTCAAGAACTTTTTTTCCTTTAAATGGTTATGAGTTGAACTTCTCTGTTGAATTAATATAAATCTGACAGTAGTGTGAGACTTGCAACTAGAGATAATAGTTTGGCAGGTAGTGCATTCATAATGCTTGTAGTTCCTGTGCCCGTCAGACTTCTTTCTGACCACTCTATTCCTATCAGATATTTATTAGGCTTAAACTAATTGTAGGACTGAATGTGATCAGCAAGCTTCGTAAATAATGTTGGTATACTGGATATTCTTGAGACATGTTTCAAAATGCAGGATGTATGCATTTTTGCTATTATATCTTTCTTTCTCTGTGGATGCATAAACCTATATGATGAAAGGATGGAAAAATCTTGAGCTCATAGTTGTGGAAATATATAGGGCCTAAATATATGTGCATATTGCACTCAAGTCAGTGTATCTTTGTGTGAACTCATGGGTATCCTCTCTTCTGTGTATGTTTTTTTTTTTCTCTTCTGCCTTTTGGATGGTCTCTTTATCTTACGTCCTGTACAAGGCAATCATCTCTTTTGTAATGTTTCTTAATACAAGATCTTTTACCCATAAAAGAAAAAAGGGAAAAAAGAAGGGTCTGACTATCATTGCTTCTCAGTTATACTGTTGAAATTTATTTGGTTGATATCTCTATTAGCACATTTAAATTGAAAGGTCTTTTACTAGTACTTCAAAACAATTGGAATGTGGTTCATTTTCTACTTTCTGATTGATTTGTCGTAGTCTTGAATCTTGACCTTCTTTCGCAACTATTTGTCTGATTGACATCTTTCTTGAGTTAGAGGAAAACCTCGCTTTTTCACTTCCCTCTTTGTGTGCCATAAACGTGATGAAAGATCAAACAATTGTCTTTGAATGGTAAAATAAGAATAGGAAGTGACAGGTTGTGCCTGTTACAAAGAGAAAAGATGCATGCTGAAAAACTTCTTCTATGTTTATTAGCCGCCCTAATTAAAGACCCATGGTATTTTATTTGTCACGCGCTTTTACATTTAAAGTTACTGAATGACGCAGGATGTCAGAAACACCCTTCTATCCCCGCGAAAAGCTTGTTGAGAAGCAAAAGTATTTCCAGAGTGTTCATAAGTATACACACTTGAAAGGCCCCGTAGACAAGATTACCTCAGTTGCGATTCCACTTGCTTTGGCAGCCACATTAACCTTCATGATCGTGAGTTTCTGTCAGATTAAATGGTTGAGTCTTTTCTTTGTTTATAAGCATCAACTGTAATTAGTTCTCGGATGACGTTTCAGGGCAGGGGGATCTACAATATGTCCCATGGCATTGGCAAGAAGGAATAAATCGTGGCTTCTGCGCCATCATTCCTATGGAAGCTCAAGCATAAAAGAGATTTTTTGGAACATTATTTGTGTTTTTTCACTTTGAGATTTCTTGATGTTCTGAAGCTAATAATTGGTTAGATGCAGAAAACACAGCCTGCAGACATATGGCCTATGCGGTCACTTGCTCAACACATTGCTTTTCTTTTTGGGGTTTAAATGCGTTTATTTGGTTGGTGTTAAAAATCAGTTCTTTTCCATCAATTAACTGCCACCATTTGAAACGTTGCACTTGTATTTTTCCTTTGAGAGATAGTCAATGCGGAAAGTGCAATTTCCAAATCCTATTATAGGATATGCATCTCAAATAATTATAGGTCTATGATGTGTTAGATCGTAGATGTCAACAATTGATGAAGATATTAGCAATATTGGATCATGTGTGCGTATTTATAAGTTACATTTGCTCTAAGCTATTTTCACTGCAAACATAGAGACAAGGAGCTGACAGCTTGTTTTACTTTGATCTTGTGTTAAGCTCGAACTTCTTGTGTTAACCAGGGCATGGATGTAGACAACCACAACGAGAAGCCTATTAATGAATTTCCCTCTCAACAAATTGTGTTATTGTCATATGAATTGATGGCCTACCTATCTAACATTAAACATAGTATAAGAATACAAACTCATAGGGAAGATTCCACGCAATATCTCATTTCTTAGATTCCACCTAAAAAGAGAATAGAAATGTTTGACTAAAACGTGTTGTAGAAATAGGGTTCACTTGCCACTTTTTGGTCATGTTTTTTTTAAAAATAACCAATGTCTTGGAGTTTCAAATTTACAATGAAGCTCCTTGAAATTCCAGGACAGTAACTATTTTTAATTACAGAAGTTACAACAACAACAACTCAGTTTAATTCCACACGTGGAGTTTAGGGAGGGTAGTGTGTACGTAAATCTTACTCCTACTTAGTGATGGTAGAGAGATTGTTTTACTCTAATTCTCGACTCCACGTCCTCCTATCAAATATCATTGTACTCAATAAGCTGAAGCAGCACCATGTCCAGCCAATCATCTCTCAGTACTTCTTTGGCCTATCTCTACCTCGTCTCAAACCCGCCATGACCAACCTCTCACACCTCTTAATAGGAGCATCAATGCTTGTCCTCTTAACGTGCCCGAACCATTTCAGCCTTAATTCTGTGATGACCCGATAGGTCAGCTTTAAATTTAACCTTCAATTTTGTGCTCCGAGACCTCGAATAGCATCATTTAAGTATTTCCTGACTTGCGTGCGCAATCCGTATATTTTTCTGGAAAACTTTTATGTGAATTTTTTTTTTGGATAAAAATGTGGATTAATGCTTTAAAACTAACTTAATTTGACTTTGGTCAATATTTTGAGCCAACGGAACCGGATCGGTGTTTTTACGGTCCTGGTGGGCCCGTATCATGATTTGGGATTTGGGCGTATGCCCGGAATCAAATTCGGAAGTCCTTAACTTGAATTATCGCCATTTGACGAAAACTACAAGCTTAATAGCTTAAAGATTTTTCAAAGTTTGACCACAAATTGACTTTTATTGATATCGGGGTCGGAATTCGATTTTGAAAAATTGGAATAGGTCTGTATCGTCATTTATGACTTGTGTGCAAATTTTGAGGTTAATCGGACTTGATTTGATAGGTTTCGGCATTGAATGTAGAAGTTGGAAATTTGTTAGTTTCATTAGGCTTGAATTGGGGTATGATTCGTGTTTTTAGCGTTGTTTGATGTGATTTGAGGCTTCGACTAAGTTCGTATGATGTTTTAGGACTTGTTGGTATATTTGGTTGAGGTCCCGGGGGCCTAGGGTATATTTCGGGGTGAGTTTTGAACGAGTTTGGGCATTTCGGCACTTTGATGATGTTCTGGGAATAATTGGAGTGCGGGGGAATATTTTGGAGTGCTGAGGCAAAGCCTCATGTGCGGACTTTAGAGGAAAATTGCGGACCTCAGAGGAAATGTGCGGAACGCAGAAATCCTCTTGCGGCCGCAAAAAGGGAAATTTGCAAGTTTGCTAGTCTAAATACGGAAACTTATATCTTTTAATCTACAAGGAATTTGGAGATGATCCAAAAATAAAAGTTGTATCTCTTTGAGTCTAGTTTTCAGAAAGGTAAACCATTCATCATTTGGACATTTGTATCGAAAGTTATGGCCAATTTATTGAACCCTAGTATTGCAGTCACTACCAAAGTGCGATCGCACAAATTGGATTATGACCGCATAACTTGGAATGTGCGGACCGCACAAAAGAATGTGTGGTCATCACATTGAGAGAACATATTGGTACCATATAAACGAAGATTTCATCTCATTTTTTATTTTTGGACTTTAGGAGCTCGGTTTGTGGCAATTTTTCGTGAATTTTCAAGAAATTCATCGGGGTAAGCGATTCTAACTCGAATTTGGTTAATATACATGAATATATTATTATTTTCATCATTTAATTAGTATTTTGAGATGGAAATTTGGGAAAAATTGTAGAAATTTCATAAAACGAATTTTTGGGGTTTGAATGTTGATTCGGAGTTGGATTTGAGTGAAACTAGTATGGTTGGACTCGTATCGGAATGGGTATTTTGGTTTCGCAAAAATTCTATTGGGTTTCGAGAGGCGGGCCCATATTGACTTTTGGTTGACTTTTCTAAAAATGACTTAAATTAAGTCTCTTTTGAATTGTGAATAATTTTTAAAGCTCAAATTTAATTATTGGTAAATAATTTACTAGGTTTGGTTGGTTTGGAGAATAATTCGAAAGGAAAAGTTGTAGTCGAGTGATCACTTGAATTGCAAAGCAAGGTAAGTGTCGTGGTTAACTTTGACTTGAGGGAATAGAACCCTTGAATTATATGTTACGTGAATTTCATGTGTAATCGATGATTGAACCATTCTATTCTTATTCTCTCGCATATGGAGAGAACACGTAATACATATACCGACGGACATGGCAGACCCCCCGGTGGCAGTTATGACCAGGGGTAGAGGCCGAGGTAAAGCTCAGTCTAGAGCTCGAGCAGCACACCTGTTGTAGAACCTCAGGTGGATTTGGAAGCGAAGGTTCTAGCTCATAATATACATGTTGGAACAGTTCAGGTCCCGGGAGGATTCATAGCTACTCCAGTACTTCAGGACGCTCTAGTCCGTTTGGTGAGCCTTATGGAGGGTGTGGCCCAGAATGGTGCATTTCTAGTGGCACCAGCCATCTCACAAGTTGGGGGAGGAGCACAGACTCCCACTACTCCCTCTCCGGAGCATATGGCTCCCTAGAATCAGGCTCCAACAGTTCTGCCAGTTGGGGTAGTTCAACCAGTTATTACAACACATGCCGGTGATAGGTCTACCATGTCTTCTCGGGCCTTATTGAGATTGGACAAGTTTATTAAGCTCTTTCCAGTTCACTTCTGTGGTACACCTTCTGAGGACCCACAAGATTATCTTGACCGCTGCCATGAGGTGCTGCGGAACATGGGAATAGTTGAAAGCAACAAGGTCGGTTTTCCTGTGTTTCATATGACTGGTTCCACCAAGAGGTGGTGGAGAGATTATATACTTGCTAAACCTGCGAATTCACCTACACTTACCTATGATCAGTTCTCGCAGCTATTTCTGGAGAAGTTCATTCCTATTACACTGAGGGAGAAATACCGTATGCAATTTGAGTGTCTCCAGTAGGGTAGTATGACTGTTACCCAATCTGAGACTCGGTTTATGGACTTAGCACGTCATGCCATAGTCTTGCTTCCTACTGAAAAGGAGAGAGCGAGGAGATTCATTGATGGACTCACTTATACTATCAGGCTTTAGATGGCGAAGGAGACAGGGAGCGATATTTCCTTCCAGACAACTGTGAATATTACTAGGCGAATCGAGTTAGTTCGTGCTCAAGAGAGAGAGCCAGTGTTATATAAGAGGCCCCGTCATTTCGGTAATTTCAGAGGTGCCTCGTCTGGAGGTAGGGGTACTTATGGTAGGGGCCATCCTCCCATGCCATTTTATTCAGCACTTTAGGCATCTCACAATGCTTCAGGGAGTCATGGTCTTATTATGCCTTACTCTGGGTAGCCAGCATTTAGTGCACATTCAGCTCCTATGAGTGCACCACCGCTCTAGAGTTACTATAGCGGTTATTCGGCCCGTTCGGGTCAGCTTCAGCGACCACAGCAGCAGGAAGGGTGTTATGAGTGTGGGAACATTAGTCACATCAGGAGATATTGCTCTAGGTTGTCGAGCAACAGATCCTAGTAGGATTCTCGTGCCATCATACCAGCACCGGTTACTCTACCGCCCGCCCAGCCAGCTAAGGGCAGAGGTCAGACGGCTAGAGGTGGAGGTCAGGTCGTTAAAGGTTGAGGCTAGCCAGTTAGAGGCCGCCCCAAAGATGTAGCTCCGAGTGGTGGGGCCCAACCCCAATTTTATGCTTTTCCAACTAGGCCTGAGGCCGAGTCATCTGATGCCGTGATCACAGGTATTGTTCCAGTTTGCCATAAAGATGCTTCAGTTCTATTTGACCCAGGATCTACTTATTCTTATGCGTACTCTTACTTTGCTTCATATTTGGTTGTGCCTCATGATTTTTTGAGTGCTTCTGTGCACGTGTCCACACCGGTGGGAGATTCTATCACTTTAGATCATGTCTATCATTCGTGTGTGGTTACTATTGGGAGTCTTGAGGCCACCGCGAATCTTCTACTTCTTGATATGGTAGATTTTGATGTAATCTTGGGTATGGATTAGTTGTCACCCTATCATGCTATATTGGATTGTCACGCCAAAATGGTGACCCTAGCCATGCCAGGGTTACCTCAAATATAGTGGAAAGGGACTCTTAGCCATTCCACCAGCAGGGTTATCTCTTACGTGAAAGCTCGGTGTATGGTCGAGAAGGGGTGTCTAGCTTATTTGGCTTATATTCACGATCTTAGTGCAGATGTTCCTTCTATGGATTCAGTCCCAGTTGTCTGATGAGTTTCCAAATGTATTTCCTGCAGATTTGTCGGGGATGACACCCGACAGAGATATTGACTTCTGTATTGATTTGGCTCCGGACACCCAACCCATTTCTATTCCACCATACCGTATGGCCCCGCCAGAGTTGAAGGATTTAAAAGAACAATTACAAGAATTGCTTGACAAGGGATTCATTAAACCTAGTGTCTCGCCCTGGGTGCGCCCGTGTTATTCGTGAAGAAGAAAGATGGGTCGATGAGAATGTGTATAGGTTATCGATAGTTGAACAAGGTCACTATCAAGAACAAGTATTCGTTGCCAAGAATTGATGACTTATTCGATCAGCTTCAGGGTGCCAAGGTGTTTTCAAAGATCAATTTGAGGTCTGGTTACCATCAGTTGAAGATTAGGGCATCTGATGTCCTTAAGACAACTTTTTGGA